TAGTGGAATGATGTATATGTAAAGAAAAAAATGACTCCTCTAGAAATAATGTGATTATGTCATCAACTTTGTAGAATATCAAGTAGCCATCAACACTGAGAAAGATTATATATGAAGAAAGAGTCTAAAATAGAGTATTAAAACTAAGGTAGAATTATTCTTACACTATGGGTATATATATATACACATAAATGAGTATATATGTGTGTGTGTGTATATATATATACATATATATGTATATATGTGTGTATATTATATATACATATATATGTATATAGATATAGATATAGATATAGATATAGATGAGCACATGTCATTATGAAATATTTCAGGATATTCTTCCAGCAAGAGCTATTGAGGTTATTATGAATCATTGAGTATGAATAAGGAGCCCATAATGCTTTCCTGAACACGAACTGTTGATGTTCTTTTTGGTTTATAATCTCTGCTTTCTGATGTTATTTATCTTTTTATTTAGGCCCTGTCTTCCCACTTTGACTAAAGTTTTTCAATAACAGTAATCATTTCTTATACCTACCTCATAATTGCTTTATTGCTTAGCATGTTTCTATATGCTGGCCACTGTATAACTCTGGAAAATAGACAGGAACCTCTAGCACCAAGGAGCTTAAAATCTGAAAGAAAATAAAAGAGTAAAATGTGTAACGAAAGGCTAACAATGAAAATTGAAGAAAATGATAGATCAGTGCATTAATATCAGAGAATGAATGAACATCTGTCAAATCTTATAAAAAGGAGTCCGCCTCCCTTCATGGAGCTCACAGTCTAGTGGGGAAGACATACCTTTTTACAATTAACTTTACGAGCATGTTCCACACAGTAGGCACTGTGCTACATGCTTTACATGAATTATTTCATGTAATTATCAGGACTTTGTCCCAAAGAATTCTCGGTGGTTATGCAAGCCACACTAGGTTTTTCTGTTGTCATTTTTTTATGATTTCCCTTTTACAGATGAGGAAACTAAGGTTTAGTGTAGTTGATTAACTTTCCCCCAAAACCTGGCAAATGTTTGTTTTGATAAGCATTAGACCACATTATGCTTCCTTCTTCAACTATTGAAGAAAGATGATAGAAGTGTTTTCACATAAGGGCTTGCAGAAGAATAATGCCAAACCCAGTTGGATGCTCTCGTTTCTCTCAATTATAATATTTATTATACTACATTGTAACTGAATTTACTTGTATATCTTCCCAGATACTGTGATCTTTTTTGAGATCAGGTACTTTATTTTACATATATTTGCACTCATAATTTCTGGCATAGAATAACTATTTAATAAATATACTTTCAATGAACGAATGAATGCTTGAACCGAAGAATTTGCCCTCATCAAGTTCCAATATTATTTCTTTAAAAATGGTTTTGTTATATAAAAGGGGGAATGAGGGACTAAAAGCTTATTAATATCAACAATATTCATTAGAAGAACACAGTGGTAATTCATGTTGACACCATCTTGACTGTCCAACACAAAGCCAGAACTGAACCCAGTTTTTCTACTTGACTTTATTTATTATAGTGTCATAGAGTATTAAATAGGACTTCAGAGCTAATAAAATTAGTTCCTGGAGAGATAATTTAGTCTAGTCTACCAACTAGCCTGGATTCAAGTCCCTATCTATTTTCCTAGGCAGACAAAGGGGGCGCATTCTATTGAATTACATGGTCAATCCTTAGTTTTGTGTGTGTGTGTGTGAATCGGATTTTGGTCTGGGAGTAAAGAAAGGAGAATAGCTTCTTTCTCCGTTCTTCTCTCCCTTCATTCCTTCCTTTTTTTCTTTTTTCTTTAATTTTTAAATAAACAAGAGCTAGAACTTTTCACAAGAAACTTTAGCGCCCCTCCAAAGGGGCCGGGTTTTCTTCTGGCGACTGCTACTGCTTCTCTCTTGCTGGGATTGGTTGAGAGTAAGCTAGAAAGACTTTTAGGGCGGAGAAACCAGACGCCGGGGTTGGGAGTGGATCCTCGCCGCAGTAGCGGGAGGAAGCCTCTGGCCCGCAGTGGGGCCGCAGCGTAGGAGCAAGTCCCAGGAGGCCCCGCCGCCCCGCGCCGAGATGTGGGATCGCCTTCACGAAACTGACCCGACCCCTGCCCCTTGGTACCGTCAGCGCTGTTTCTGCGCTGCGGTGCTGGGGCTGGCCGCCGTCTTCTTCACCTTCGGCTTCCTCCTGGGTAGGTTCAGACTCGCCACACACACCCCAGAGCCTACCCGCAGTTCCGCGCTTTGCGGGATTTGTGGGCCCACTGCTATGTGGGGTCTCCGGGAGAGTGGTTTGTTTAGGGGGAAGGTGGGGATGAGCCCTGGCGAGTTAGGGGGAGGTTTCTGGGTTCTGGACAATCTATCGTAGGACAGTCACCCAGGGTAATGGGTAGAAAGGAGAGCCCCTGAAACTGGACTTGAGAAGGTCTTCTCGCTCGATCCCTTGAGGAAATTGGTACGTTTCAGGGCGAGCGGCACGTCTCTGGGGCAACTGAACTAGGTCATCCAAGGTGCTAAGCAGGGGATGACTTACTGTTTGGGGTCTATATCTAGTCGTGTGCCTGGGGCTGTTTCATCTATACAGTAGGTGGATGTCAGGGCACTCAATGCTGCGTGGAAGCCCTTTGCTCTCCTCTCTTTTCTCGTCCTTGGGAGTAAATAATAAGAGGAACGTTTAGTAACTGGCTGACATTATTGTCAGCTCTCCGAACAGGTCTTTATCTGCAGTACTTTTGCGTCGTCCCCTATATACTGATTTGCATATTTAACCCAACTCTTTAAGAAAACCAGGAGCAACACAGACAAGCTTGTCCTCTTTTAAATTCTAATTTTGACTCTTCGTGTTCTTGAATAAGTTACCGAGGCTCTCAGCCTCAGTTTCTCAATCTTTATGATGATGATAATATCTGCAGTTTATTTGGAATAGTAGACTTACTGTTTGGGGTCTATATCTAGTCGTGTGCCTGGGGCTGTTTCATCTATACAGTAGGTGGATGTCAGGGCACTCAATGCTGCGTGGAAGCCCTTTGCTCTCCTCGCTTTTCTCGTCCTTGGGAGTAAATAATAAGAGGAACGTTTAGTAACTGGCTGACATTGTCAGCTCTCCGAACAGGTCTTTATCTGCAGTACTTTTGCGTCGTCCCCTATATACTGATTTGCATATTTAACCCAACTCTTTAAGAAAACCAGGAGCAACACAGACAAGCTTGTCCTCTTTTAAATTCTAATTTTGACTCTTCGTGTTCTTGAATAAGTTACCGAGGCTCTCAGCCTCAGTTTCTCAATCTTTATGATGATGATAATATCTGCAGTTTATTTGGAATAGTATATGAAATAACATCTAAAGTTCTTAGCACACTTATTGGAGAATTGGCGCTTTTCTTTATTCTTTCTTGGTGAGGAACTGCTTCTCATCGGACATTAATGCACAGGACTAGCCTGAGGTATTGCCTGGTAGTTTATCCATGCTCTAAATTCTAGATTCTCTTTCTGGGATTTAGATTATAATACTTACTATATTACATATAATACAGGGCATAGATAGCTGGGTTAACTCAACCTCCCTCTCTTCTTGCTTGCTCTATGACTTTGGAGTCATTTAAAAACTTCTGAGCTGCACTCTGCTCATAACTGACATCTGGCTAGGGTTGTGGGGCTCAGTTTCAATTTTCTCAACTGTAAAAATGGGAAATAGCTGACATGGGGACTCAAATCTTCTGCATGTCTTGAGGGAATTTTAATTTTCTTAATATTGCCCTCAGGCTTCCATCCTTGTATTCACCGCTCAGTGGCTAACAGAATAGTTTTTTTAGTAAAATGTTTATTTTTCCCTAGGAGTCTTTGTTGTCCCTCCTCCCACCCCTCCTCCCTCTTCATCCTGTTTTTTCTCCAGCTCTCAGGTCAAGAATTTCATCCTCATTGTGTCTGTCTTTCCCTGATCCCATAGGCTAATCCTTTGTTTTAGTACCGGTGGAACTGTATTTCCATTTGCTACCAACTATTTATTTCAGTATGCCTCTGTGTATGTATGCGTGTGATTACTTATGCCTGTGTGTATGTATGCTGTTATTAACTAGAAAGCTCCATGAAAGCTGCCTGGGTGCTGATTTGTTAACTATTTTATGCCCAGATCCTGTCATTTCTCTATATAAACCCTGTACTGATACCCTACTTCCCTCAGTTAAAAGCCAGTACAAGGGTAAACCTCTCTACATCATCAACATACCCATTGCCCCTGGCTTGTGTGAGTCTTACAGTGATGTTGGATGAATCGTAGTTTCACTGTAGCTTTGGAAGTTGAACTTCTAAAGCCTACTTCAAATGAAAACAAAATCTCAGCATATTTTTAGTTTTAGTATCTGAACAAATTATAAGTCTGGATTTCCTTCAACTCTTTGAAATAATCTATATACTTGAAATACATTCATAATTCATTATAAGCATTGACTAAATGCTTATTCTGGATCAGCAGAGAACAATTACTGGGGATGGAAGCTTTAAAGAGAAAGAAAGTAGATCTCCTTTTACCTTAATTTTCTGGACGTCTTGTTTATCCCCATTAGTTGAAACATGTTTAATTTTAGTGCTCATTTTCTCAATAACACATTTCTTAGAATAACAGGGATCTTACCATTGAAACTGGAGAAAAATATGTTACGATTGATTTGGAATTTAAAAGTCTGGGTGCATGTTTTTTTTTTTTTTTCTAGTGGAAGTAGGCAAGAGAAATTAAATTTCAGAAAATTTCAATTGAAGGTCTTTGGAAATTTATGTTTTATATATGATAGATACAACAATAAGGAAAAATAGCTCCTGTCTATGAGCTCACTTCTCATTCCTATATTTGTATGTATTCTACAGGATGGTTTATAAAAGCCCCCAATGCAGCTAACGTGTCACAGCATAATGTGAAGACATTTTTGGATGAATTGAAAGCTGAGAACATCAAAAAGTTCTTATAGTAAGTATATACTTGAAAGTTTATATAGACAATTTGTTGGAAACTTTTATTATTCTGTTTAGAAGTTTTGATCTGATATTTCATATACAGGCATTGACTTTTATATTTTTTGTTTTATTGTTGAAGATATTGTATCATTTGGACAGGATTATATATTTCAGCTGAACTTTATCATTATAGACATTTTAAAACAGGAATCAGGAGACTCTGTAAAGGGTCTGTCTTTCTATGTCTGCTGATCACTGTCACAACTACACAGGTCTGCTATTTGTGGCACAAAAGACATAGACTCAGCCATAAAAAAAAAAAGAAATCTTAGCATTTGCCATGCCATGAATGGACCTAGAGGGCATTATGCTAAGGGAAACGAATCAGAGAAAGACAAACACCAAATGATTTCATGTATATGTGGAGTTTAAAGAACAAAATAAACAACAGAATCAGAATCAAAACAACAGAATAGAGAACAAACTGGCGATTGCCAGATAGGAAAGGGGTTGTGAGGCTGGGTGAAAAAGGTGAAGGGATTAAGAAGTACAAATTGTTAGTTAACAAAATAGTCATGGGGTTGTGAAGTTACAGCATAGATAATATAGTCAATAATATTGTAATAACAATGTATGTGCCAGGTGGGTACTAGACTAATTGGGGAGATCACTTCATAAATTATATAAATGTCTAACCACTTCACTGTACATCTGAAACTAATATAAAATAACATTGTCAACTCTAATTAAAAAATAAAAAAGCCATAGAAAATACCAGTAAGTGTAGCAGTTCTGATAAAATTTTATTCATAGGCACTAAAATTTGAACTTCATATAATTGACATGTCACAAAGTATTATTCTTCTTGATTTTTTTCACGTATTGAAAATGTAATAACCATTCTTAGCTGTGTACTGTACAAAACCAGCAAGTGAGCTGGTTTTGGTCAGTGGAACATAGTTTTCTGACTCCTGTTTTATAAGAAGATAGTATAATTCTAGTCAAAAGAATAAACTTGGACTTCAGAGTCAGACATACTTAAGTTTAAATTCCATCTTTGCCCATTGATAGCAAAGTAACTTTGAGTGAATATGTAACCCTCCTGAGCAGTCCTTGCCACATCTATAAAATGAAGATAATGATATGGTTGTGATGAAGATGAAATTAGAGAGCATATGTGACATAGTTTAAAATCTAGCTCCCTATTTCCTGAAACAGCTATCTCTAATGTAGAGTTAAAGAGGTAAATGAGTAAATTTAAAAAGTGTTTGCAAAGCAACTAAAATTAACACTTATATAGAATGATTATATATAATTAATTAGAATATTTAGCTTTTCAAAATATAAAGTCTCTTTTTTAAAAAAAAAAACAAACAAATCAGCTTAGTGCATGTGTCCAAAACTACTTGAAGTCTAGGTGAATGAAGGAGTCTTTAGTGACTCCTAAAATTATACAAGATATAATTTTAAATAAAAATTGGTTTTATATATACATAAACATATACCTATAGATGTACACACATAATCATATAAATGTCTATATTAATTATGATAAAATTAAAATTGATTAAAAATTTTCTAGGGTACCTTCTAGGTCTTTAGAAGAGCCATTTCAAGTGAGAGACCGTTAAGCTTAAATTTTGTGGAAATTCCTCTTCTCTGCCTCTTGCACTTATTAGCTATAATTAAGTATAATAAATATAATGAAAACGAGGTCTGGCAAAATTTAATATTTACTCCTGGACAGAACTGCTGTCCCTACTTCCTTCTTCCTTTTCTAACCTGTGGCATGAACTGACCGGCAAAAAAGAAAAACAAATGCCTTTTGTTTATTTGTCTTCCTGAAACCTTGAGCAAGATCCAAGTACTCGGCTTCTTGCTTATTCTCCATGTCCCTGACCAAGCTCTTCTAACTGTTCAGAATTCAAGGATGTTTCATCATAACACACGAAAGAGATTATGAGAACCCTCATTATACCTCTAAGGACTGCAGAATCTCCAGAAACCTTTTGTACCCTCCAGATTTCCAATTATGCCACTTGTCCATCAGAAAACTTTGAATCTAATTATACCCATAGGTCAGTGGCCATTAAGTCTTGGATCTCTCATTTGTCCCCTTTTATAACCCTTTGCTCTGCTACTAGAAATCCCCACTACTAAATTATCTGCTTCTCAGTGGTGGCTGGGAGGATTAAGAAGGGGCTGCCTTTTCAGTTTCCCTTGAGCTGCAGTGTTGTCTTGTTTCCCTTCAGTTTTATAAACACCTGGTTGATTCTCAGATCTGTTTACTATTTTGCATCTATTTAAGAGGGGCTGTCCTTTAACACTCAGAAGGATGGGATTATTTTAGAAGAGTGTTAGAACTCTGGTCTCAGAATTTCACTGATCTGCATTCGAATACCAGTTCTACCTTTTATTAGCTGCCTTTAAATCATCTAACTTTCGTCTACACTGGTCCATCATTTGTAGACCAGATTTTATGAACAGCTCCTTTTATTAATTGAGATAATGTGATGATACTTGGGATGTATTTAAACTTTTCTAGCCAGGCAAAAATATATGAGCCAGTTTTTAAAAATACAAGTTGTTGGATACTTTGGATAATTTCTAAATTATTACTTTTTTAAAAAAAATTGATATTCCAGTAGGATCAACAAATTCTTGTGACATAATTTCTCAATTGATTAAAACAACATAAGATTTCAGGACCGTTTTTAATATCAGTTATCTAATTGAGCCTCAAATTGTAAAATAATGAGTTAGCAGTAGTCTCTCCATGTTCAGATGAGACACTTAAGACATGACCAAGATTACACAAGTTAGTGGCCAAACCTCTAATACACCACTTATATGATTTATTTATCTTTAGAAATTAAAATTTTTTCTATTTTTTTCAGAATCAGCCTTGCTTCAAATGAATGAATGGGTTCAACCCTGATCATAGCTCCTGGTTTTATCATAGTTGGTAATGACAAAACTGTTAGAAGGAATTTCACTCATGATAACAAAGTCTGAAATGAACTCTTTTTAAAATTTTTATGTATTTTTTATGTGAGCCAGTTTAAAAGTTCCCTAGCAACTTTTCAGGAAATATGCATAACCTGTATCCACTTTAGTAATGTTACAGTTTGTGATCTGTACAACATGTAAGAAAATAGCAATATGTTAGCTGTTTCTCTGTTTTCTCTCCAGGTATACATTGATGAAGGGATACATAGACTTCTTAGCTGCTTCTTAAAAATTGTGTTCTTTTGTTGCTATATTTTTCAGATGCACATTAGAAATTCTATGTAAAGTGTTAAGTCCTTAAAAATTTACTGAATGAGGCTTTTAATACTATTTTTGTAAATACGATTTAAATTTTTTTAATATAAGTATAAAAATTAATCACAGGTTTTTTGCGGGGGGGGGAAGAATTAACTTATTTTCCTTGGCTGATTTACCAAATCAAAAATTCAATTGCAAAAAAAAAAAAATCCAGATGCACAGTAGAATTAAATAGTTTGAAACTGGGATAATCATATCCGTTACTTACTTTTTTTTTTTAAATCGCTGTAAGGATGAAAGTGTGTCAATTTTAGTAAAACCTACTTATTTAGAACTAGATATTTATGAAGTTCAAGAAGTTCATGGGCTAGAAGTAAATAAATGTCTTTACATGATATATGAGGAGTTTTCTTTTTCCCCACCCACCCCTTACGCGGTTTAAGTTGAAAATACCAATAAGCTGACTCTTGAGAGAAATGACAAATTTTCAGGAGGGAAAAATTCAAAACAAACAAAAGCACCAGTATCTAGACATATTAAATGAAAAATTAATCTACTCAAGAAAATATTTCTGATAGCCAGTTTTTGGCCTCATAACTTACTCGATAAAGATATTTCTGATCAAATTGATTCTCATCGATTTTTATTACAATACATGATGGATGGAGTACAAGGGATTTAGTCTGAACTTGTATAAATATGTTAAGATGTTTCTTAATGAAGACTATGAATGATTGCTAATGAAAAGATTTCTCACTTGACTATAACTTTGGATATTTAAAAATAAATGTAATTATCAGTAATTCTGGGCATGTCACACCATGGTATTTTGGATGAAATTTTTTTTATCTCTCAAATATTTTACACAGTGAAATAAAAAAACAGGTAATCCACAAAAGTTTCAAGAGACATGGGTCTTGAAGTAAAGAATATATTTTCCTCAGCTACCATTCAAGACATGTCTACAGGGTTTCACATAACAATTCTCTGCAAAGATCAGTTTCTCCATTTTTTCTCTTGAATGAGTACAAATTAGAGCATGAAAACTTCAAAATACACTTTGAAAATCTATTCGATGCAATGATAGTACCACTTTGCTATTTTAACATATCAGATTTCAGAGTATTTTTTTTATGTAAATATGCCTTATTTGGTTGTTGATTTGGAATAAAGGCTGACTAAATAATAATTTCTAACCACTTTCAATTTTTGTTCACCAGTAATTTTACACAGATTCCACATTTAGCAGGAACAGAACAAAACTTTCAGCTTGCAAAGCAAATTCAATCTCAGTGGAAAGAATTTGGCCTGGATTCTGTTGAGTTAGCCCATTATGATGTCCTGTTGTCCTATCCAAATAAGATTCATCCCAACTACATCTCAATAATTGATGAAAATGGAAATGAGGTAAGAAAAATATAGAAAAGAAACTCCATCTATTCTTTTCAAATACCTTTTATGAAAGAATGCCCTATATATCTTTAATAATTGATATAAATCAATATTATTGAAACTTGTGAATAATGCCTTTAATATCTTTATTACTAGTAATGGATTTCTTATGATGTTTGAATTTAATGTGATATTGGAAAGATTCTGAGAAATTAATGCTTGAAAAAAGTTGCTGTTTTTTTTTTTTAATATTTTAGTATTGTACACTAATGTAAAATATAAGATATTACTTCCAAGCAACTGAAATAGATACATTTTTTTATAGCTTCAGACCTTAAAAGATATTGCATAGGTTTGGGGTTGCTAGGAAATTCAGAAATCCAGTGCGTAGTTTGAACTCGCTGGTTTTTATTATACTTAATGATTATGACTCGTATGATCATATGTTCAGCTCTCTGGCCAGAACTTGTACGGGGGCATTTGCAGAGGAAGAGAGTTTGGAGAGAAAATCTATAGAATGATATCTAGTTTAAAGAATTAAAACCCTGTTTGCAAGTTAGGGCATGTGAGAAAGAGAAGACAGTATAAGTAGTTGAGATATTTCTTATCATGAAATATGTTCAGTATGAAAGCTCATAAAACATATATATTCATCCCTAGTTAGCATACCTTAGTTTTATAGCTACCATACCTAACTAAAATAGCCCCTTTCAGTCTAGATAGCTTCCAACGGTCCTTTTCTTAGCTTGGGCTTCTAAATTATATATAGTTTCAAATATGTCCAGTTTGATCAATGTTGACAATGTTAAAAATATACAGACTTAAACTTCTGTCATGAGCTACCGTATCTGGGGATTATCTATGTACAGTGAGGAAAATAGCAAACTTTAATTTCTTTTTTTCCTTTTTCACCTCCCAATTTTGACTATACTTTTGCTTTTATTATTTCATTTCATTATTTTTGCCATTACAAGCATTTATGAAATTCCTAAAGCCTGTCACGTAATTTAAATATGTCATGTAGAAGTTTCATTTTGGAGATTTTTCTGGATGGTGTTAGCTGCCTAAAACTTCTTAATTATTTTAAAGTTATATCATTAGTTCACTTTCATTTTTTAGAAATTTATTTATTTTAATTAGGTTCAAGTATACAAGACATTGGGTTAGATATCTATATAGTTCATAAAATGATCCCCCCAATTTCTCCCTCCTTCTCCTGACCCTCCACCTAGCCAATGTATTAATGCTAACTGCATTCCCTATGCTGTGCTCCCCATCCCCGTGACCATCTATCAGCTACCAATTTGTACTTCTTTAACCCTTCACCCCATTTTCCCAGCTCCCCAAACCCCCTCACCTCTATCTGTCACCAAATTGTACACTATTTTTCTGAATCTGATTTTGCTTAGTTTGTTCTTTTTATTCCTTAGATTCTGCATATAAGTGAAATCGTGTAGTATTTATCTTTCTCTTTCTGACTTAAATACCTTCTAGGTCCACCAAAACAATATCTTTTTCCATCCCCTTCCTTTTAGTCTATGTATGTCTTTTAATCTGAAGTGAGTCTCTTGTAGGCAGCATGTAAGGGTCTTGTCTTCTTTCCATTCATCCACTCCATCTTTTTTTTGGAGCACTTAATTCTTTTCCATTTGAAGTACTTATTCACTTTCATTTTTATTTTTACCCAAGTTATACTTGCACATAAAGAATCACGTAGTTGTCCAAAGTGCCTTGCTTTCCTCTGTATTTCCCCCTTCCCTGAGGCAATCACTATTTAACCAGGAGTTAATTCGTTTGCTATTTACCTCTATTTTCTTAAAGAGCATACTTATATTACTTGTGTTTCAGGTTCAGGCGTTGTCTTTTGACATAATGACAGTTCAGCTCGATTTTTATCCTCTGTCTCAACTACAAATGCTTCTTACTCCCTCCTCATCTCCCACTGTAGTTTAGTTATTGTGACTAACTGTTTGTAACTGAGATGTGTGGTAAACTGTGAACTTTTACCCTCCCGCACAACACAGACAAGTTTCCCCGCCACAGGCAACAGATATGATTAGTGTTTTGTAGATTCTACCAGAAACGTTTTAAATAAATACAGACATTATTTTATCTTTGTTTATGTAGAGGTAACATACCATATAGGTTGAATTATATATTGCCCTTTTTTTGTCGTAACAAGTAAATAAAATTTGTAAGTCAAACTTGTTTTAGTTCTGATCAGAATACCTAATTTGAGGCTATATTCGCGAGTTTTGGAAAGTGAGCAATGCTCACTGGTATGTAGCCTACCATTGATAAAGTCATCCCAAAAAACTCATTTCCTTGACCTTAAAAAACTTTATTAGTTGTGAGAATAACGCATAAACTCTTAAAATGCACTTGCTCAGTAATGCTGTAAAATCGAAGATTAGTATAAAGGCAAATCAAGTGAGACAAGTTTAAGTACTCTCTTGGCTAAAAGACTTGCTGATGTAATGACTTTTTTCTAAATGGATTTTTATTGCACTTTAGTATAGTTTCTCTTACAATCGTTCCCAGTGATTCAGATGAGTTTGTACACTATGTGGACCACAGAAAAATTATGGAAAATTTGGGATATGTGAGAAGTTTTGGAGGGTAGTAGTTGCTTTGATTTCATTTTAGGTTCTGTTAGCCTCAAGAGAGGTAGCCAACTGATGCTGTAGTTAGAATAATATAATGTTAGCCCATATTCACTCCCCAGCTCTCATCACCCTTTGTACTACTGTGCTGGCCAGGACTTAGAGCATAAAATTGCAAAGAAGTGGTGATAGCAGATATCTTTGACTTGAAGGAAATATTTTTAATGTTTCACCATTAATTTTGATATTTACTGTAACTTTATTAAGTAGGAATTGGATTTTTCAGTTAAAAACTAATAAAATCAACCATCCAAAAAAAGGTAGAGGGGAGAAAAAGAAGCATTAGGGGAAGAAAAGTAAGAGTAAAAATCATATAATAAGGTGGAAATTACCTGATTACTATATATCAGTAATTACATAATTCTATAATTGTGGATTCCCTAGTAGGGTTTTTTCCTCCGCTACCACAAACCATTACTTTTTGTGGGACAGGTTTATTTCTAGTTTATCCTTAGCCCTAAAGGATGTTGTCCTTTGAAGACCCAGCTTTTATGCAGGTGTCTCCATTATTTGGGCCAGGGTCGGACTCCTCTTTTAACTCTTGTATGCTTCCCGTGGAGAAAGATCCAGCTAAGGCAAAAGCAGATTTTAATGCTAACCTCAGAATTCCTGCTTTCGTGTCATTTTTTTTTTTTTTTTTTTTTTTGGCTTCTGATTATTTTCTTGCTTTTTTTCCCCAATTCAATGATACACTTAAAAAAAAGATAACATAACATTTTATATTTGATTCAGTGTTTTTAGTTCTTTTCAGAATGGATGTTGTTCAGTATATCTAAGTACTATCAGGTATGGATTCCTCAAAAATGTAATTTTCATTGAAGTGAATTTAATATTTAATTTGTTCCTAAGTAATTATCTTTGCATTGTTTTAAGTGGCTAAGATTACTATACAATGTCATTTTTATTTGGAGAATAAAATTTTTCTTCTAAATCAAAAGCCGGTGCCTACAGATCCTCTCAGGGTCTATAATTTATTCATTCTATGAAAGCCTTACAGCTTCTAGCGCAGTACTGGATATTTGATATGTATTCTCAAAATACCGAAGGATTGATTAACCTCTACTGACAAAATAAATAATGTACATTTTTCTTTATTTGATTGTAGTAATCAAACTTTACCTGATTTACTTCTGGTTGTTATATTTTGTTTCTGTAGATTTTGAACACATCATTATTTGAACCACCTCCTCCAGGATATGAAAATGTTTCAAATGTTGTGCCACCTTATAACGCTTTCTCTCCACAAGGAATGCCAGAGGTAAAAATCCAATACAATAAAATAAAAATAACAGTCAGAACCCCATCATATATGCGAGCAATAATTAAAGATATATTAAGAGGTTTTTGATATAATCCAAATTCACCATTTTTCCACATTTATGAAGCTAGAATTTCTTAGTAGGAAAAAGAAATATTATTTTGTGTTCATAACATTTTTTAAGATAACGTTTACTACAATAAGATGCGGAAATCCAAAATATGTATTTATTGAAGAGAAATGCATATACTCGTGTAATCCAAACCCCATCAACATATAGAATATTACCATCACTTCAGAAAGAACCTTTATGCCCTTTTCAATCAATTATACACACCCCGAGGCAACCATTTTTCTGAATATTTTTTGCCAAAATATATTTTGGTTAGCTTTGTCAATTCTAGAAATTCATATAAATGGAATTATATAACATGTAATCATTTGTGTCTATTGTCTTTCACTAAGCATAGAGTCTGAAATTCATGTTTTTTGTGTTTGTTTTTTTAAATTTGTTAAGTAATTTCCATTTTTACAAAAATACTGTATACCTTACTACTGTTATATAGCACTGATGAATTTTCAAAGAATTTGAATAAGAGTATTATTGCCATTTTCAAATGAAGAGTATGAATGTTTACTTAGTAAAGCAGTGTGAATGACTGTCGTCTTAAATTTTACAGTCAATCCCTAGATTCTTGCACAGTACTTTGTTTTATATGTGAAAGCTAAATTTGAAAGAGTTGAATATAATTTATTAGCATCTTTTAAAAAATTCTATAATACTCAACATCAATTTCAGACATTGAGTTTAGGTGTCTCGGATATAGTCACAAGAAAATGCTATTGACAGTTGGGTATATTGAAGTATCATTCAATAGAGGTAAAATCTTGGGCTTTCACTGGAAACATCCTAAGTAAAAAATCTGCATTTAAATTTGAAATGATACTTAAAAGTTTATCTTCACCAATCAGGACTTATTAGGATGATTTAATATCAGGCAATACCATATTTTTTAATAAGTAAGGTAAAAAAAAGTCACATTTTTATTCTTTTCAAAAGTATTTTATTTATTAACTTATTTGTGATTTAAAAACTTTACAAACTTAGAATAGAAGAATGTTTTCTGTTGGTTGTGTGAAATTTACCTCAAATGAATAATTAATATTATACTAAATGTTAAATTATTAGAAAAAGTCTTCCTAAAAATTAGAACACTTGTAATTATTTAATAAATTCATAATTTTATAATTGACATGAGATAGAAATAAAGCATATAACAATTGGAAATGAAGAGATAGTATATTTTAGAACTCAGGTGTAGTGAGATCACTTAGACTTATTCCTTGGGTTAAAGTACATTACTATCATGTGTTCATGTAAAATTCCTAACTTAATTATTTAATTGCTTTTCTTTCCCTTTCATTTCTCATTTCTCTTCTAATTCTCATTCCTCTTCTCTCATTCTGTCTCCTCTCCAGCCCATTCTAATGTATTTATGTCCTTAGCGATATATGTATTCTTGAAAATACAAGGCTTTATTTTATGTTTGGTGGATATTTAGATTTACATAAGTAGTATACTTTAGGTCTCATTCGATCTCTTACTATTTTCAACCAAAGGTCTTTTAGAAATCTATTCGTATTTCCTTAGGTCGAGATAGTTCACTACTTTTCACTGTTGCATATCACTCGATGTATGTGCTTACCATATGTAACATCCATTCTCTCAGTGGCAAACACATGTTTTGCCTCTGAACCTGAATTACCACAAAGTATTGGAGTGAATATGCTCATACTTGTCGCCATATAAGCTTGCAAGTGTTTCTCTGTGTACAATAAGCCAGGCGTGGGATTGCTGGTTTGCAGGGAATACTTAATTTGACAATATCCAGACTGTAGCAGTTTATTACTCCCAGTGGCACTGTATAAATGTTCCTTTTTCCCCATATTTTCATCAACAATTGAAATTATACTTTATAATTTTTGCCCATATTTGTTTTATTATTGTTTTAGTTAATTTATTTCAATTCATATTTTTCCCGTTACAAACAAGGTGCTCATCTCTAAGCATTTGTTAGCTATTCTGATTTTTCAATCTGTGAAATGGTTATTATAACCTTTTTCTTTTCCTGTTAAATTTTTGGCCTTTTTCTTATTAATTTTAGGTGTTTCTTAAGTATTTTATTCCATATTGGTTTAAATATTGAAAATATGTTCTCCTAATTTTTACTATTTGTTTGCATTATCTGTGTTGTCGTTTATTAAAAATAGATCTTTAATTTTAGTACTGTCTAATTGTTCTTTTTATGTTTTACACTTTGGATCTTCTTGATTAATTTATGTCTTCATTGTTTAAGGTGATATGTCTGTATAACCAGAATAGATGAAGAGTACTAATATGTATTTATTTTAAAAATAGCATTAATATTACCAGCTTGGAGTTAAATATATACATATATATAGACAGATAGTACATAATAGCAGAAAATAAAACAAATTAATTTAAAATAACCATAAAATATAAAATATGCTTTAAAAATCTTAAATGATTGTGGACTAGTTGATGAATACTGAAATTTATTGAGCAGTAAAAAATATTATGTACAAAGAAACAGATTATGTTTCTGGATGAGAAGACAGAATGTTATAAGGAGATAATTATACTTAACAATAGTTGTGTCTTTACTGTATAATCTGTTAAAAATTCCCCAGATGATTTTTGAACTTTGACAGACTTCTTCTACTTTAACAGAACCATAGAGATTAATTAACTCACATCTTTCAAGTAGGCTTAAACTAATCCAAACTAATGAGAAGATAGGAGCATGTGAATCTGCATTGGATTGTTATTTGTGTTTAAATATTAGAGGTTTTTCTGGCTGGTGTGCTACACTGGATCACCTGTAACCTATCCAGTGGAGAATCAGTTTTTTAAACTGATGTCTATACGTATTCTTAAGATAGTTCACTGTAAATTATCTTTGGATCTACATCTGAATCCTCTGGAGTTTGAAATACTGAGTTTTGCTTTAGCCTATTTGAAATTAGTAATTTGATAATGTCCATAAAATATAGTCTAATCTAGGGGTTCTCAAACTTCAGCAGGTTATCAAAATAATCCAAAGGATTTGTAAAACTCAGATTGGGGTTCCTACTCCCTGAGTGTCAGTAAGTTCTGTGTGAAGTCTGAGAGTTTGTTACCAATGAAGTCTGAGGTGATGTTGATTCTGAGGGTTCAAGAACCATGCTTTGAAAACTGCTAGTTTTTCAAGTCTTTTAACAAGATCAGGGCGGTGGAAGCTTGAAAGAAACGGAAAATTCTAGGCTAACAATTTAAACAATTCTAGTGCAAGATTGTATTTATTCCCAGTCATAGAACAATAGTACATTGTAAATTTTACAAGAAAGGCATTGTCTGAAAACAAAGCTTTTTTTTCTAACTCACAGCAATAACTTGCATATCTGTCACACTCATTTTCATTTTCAAAGTTTACTAACATTTTAAAACTGTCTTCTCCAACCCCTTCTCTATCATAATTTGTTTTGTGAGGATTGTGGATTATTCAAAAGATAGCTACAATTTACAGACATTTAAAAAAGTATTCTCCTCAAAGTTGGTGATATTAAATAGGGATAAATTTCGAGTAGAATACTCTTCACTAAGATAAAATTCACTGAAATCAAGTTGGGTAATTTTTCACAGAAAAGAGTGAACTCTGGCGAGGGCTAACAATTATACATCAGACATACAGTGCTATCATTATTAGTGCATTAATATTGCATTGATTTTAAAGAGAAATATAAAAGCTAAGAGTAATCCATTTACTGAAGCAAAAATTCAAATGTCACCTCAGTAGACGCTCTTTCTATTTAAATTGTACCCACCTGAGTACCAATACCCTGCCTACTCTAAACTTTTTTAAAAAGTTTTCTACAGCACTATCACCTTTTAATTTCCTGTATAATTTACTTAAGCTTTAACTTTGTTGTTTATTATCTTATCTCTATGCTGTCCACATGAATGTAAATTCCTTCAAGGTCAGGGATTTACTCTATTCCTAATGAAACCTCTGGGGCTGTTCAGCCAATAGACCATCTCAGGATTTGGGCTATTTAGAATAAGCGGTTATTGTCAGAGCACAGGTGATTAATCAGGTTAACACTTTGAAAAACTGCCTTAACATTCTCAATCTGGCTTAGGGTATTTAAGAGAAAATCTAGGTAAATCTGGGCATTGTTCCAGAGGCTCTGTGTTGGTTGGGGGTGGGGGGAGTGTGTGTGGGGGGTCTGTTCAGCTTTTCAGAGCCTTCCAGGTTTCCACCTGGCTATGCAGTCCTTGTCAGCAATCAGAAACAAAGATGGAAGCAGTCTGTAAAGAGTGCTAAATCATAAAGATTGTGATCAGCAAGAATTAGGATATACTCACAAGTTTCAGGGCAATTTTCTGAGGCAGGGGACATTCTAAGCTTGAGTTAGATTAGGAACAGTCTATTGTCTGATAAAAGAATGGGGAAACTGGAGACTTTGAAGCTGAGACATATCTAAAGCCAAGATATTATCCTTAGTCTGAAGTCTAACCAAACTATTCTCTTCATGATTATAGACCTGAGGCTAAGTTAATCTTCTGTCCTAAGGGTTAATGATTAAAATAGCAGGCATACAGAGGATAAAGGCAAGAAAAGTTCAAGTGAGTCACAATGCCATTATCTGGACAAAACCAGCTTGAATTACAGAGAAAAGAACTATACTAAAGAAATGAAGTTTGTGTGTAGTTACAAGCTATAGGGTAAGAAGAGGTGATGCCCATGACATAAGGGTCCTTTTATTAGGTCCTTCACTAATTCCTAGAACACTGCTGGGCATATAACATGACCCTACATCTTCAATAAATTTGTCAAATGAATCCTAGAATCAGCTTGGACACAACTGTATTTTAATATCTGTTAATAAATTTGTTGTACAATGCCATGAGAAATGTAGTCCAAGAGGAAAACAATAACCAAAATAAAATTATAGAATTTTAGAAATCATCCAGGACAGGACCTTCAAACTAGGGTGTGTGAAGACTTTCCAAAGGAAGGCATGGAATCATTTTAAAGAAATGAGTTTCATCATCAATTTCTTAGTGTATTCTTTCATGGAATTGAGAATGAGCCTCTGGTGAGGTCTCCACCTCCCTATTTATTTTTCTCTTCCCTTACAAATGAAAGATATCATCCATACATCCTAAAACAATATAAAGCTAATTTCTAAGTTGTAAAAAATCTGTGGGGCTCCAAACAAAGAGATGATAGTGATAGATTCTGATAGTTACGTAATGAATGATTTGGCAAGTCAAATGGTTTGCAATTGAACAAAATTAAAGATGAGGCTAATTAAGTTTCCAGCTGATATCATTAGAATTAATTTATGTAATAGATTAGCTTAGGATTTGGGGGTTATAACTTGGAAAGAATTTAAATAATCTAGTGAAGATTTCATAGCAAAACTTCTTTCATTTCTATCCTAAAATTTCTCAAAACTTATGCCTAAAAACAAGAAATGTGAATAGAGCTGAGTGCTTTCTTATTCTTGAAATAGTTTATTCATTCACAGATCCATGACCTAATGTTTTACAATCCCATAGCATTAAGAGATGTATTTCAAGTAAAATTTTATGTTAAGGTATTTTTTATAAAAATTTGTAATGATGTTAGACTCAATTTGATACTACTAATAATTATAATAATAACTTATTCCTGAAGAATTTTCTTATAGTCATATTAAAAATATAAATATTTTTTAAAATTCAACATGTGTGTGTGTGTGTGTGTGTGTGTGTGTGTGTGTGTTCTTAATCATGGGAAGTTTGATAGTGAGTAATAAGACTTTCAGGCATACCCAGATTCTAGGTAACAGGAACTGAAATGAAATTTAGCATGCTAGAGGTTAATTAAGGAGTGTTCTCTTGGGATCAGTATTTGTGGCAGGGAGAGGGAGGAATCTGGATTAAGCAGAGGGAAAAGTTTCATCTAATGCCAGTTCAAGGACACCCTCAGCTGACCCCCAGTGTGTCATTATGTGGTGTGTAACTGTATTAAAACTCAGATGTTATACTTGCACATAATTATAGTAATGATATGAAACCAGACCTGTAAACCAGGGATATTACCTGACCTTTCTTCTTACCTGGGGGTTGTGAAGACCCAGTAAGCTACTTTTTCTGAATGTACTTCAAAGAGAATAAAGCTCTCATCAAGGGCTTCTTAACCTCGAGTGCCTGGAGCCCTTAAAATTTCATGCAGCAATGTGTATATTTATATACATTTTTTTGGGGGGGGAGGGGAACATTTCTATAGTTTTTTAGCCACTATAGAGGAATCAGATATAAACAAAATTTAATGTTAAATTCCTGTCTCTAACCCAGCTTAATTGCCTTCTCGATTTAAGTTTATTTCTCCTTTTAATCTCTTACCTGAGATTCATGCTTTTCTGATCCGCTTTCCTTCTGTTGCCTCTTTCTTCTTAAAGATGTGAAACAGTCCTTATGCAGAAAAACATTTTTGTATTTAATCTTACTTGTAGAAATCATTTGTGATCTCAACAGGGTGATCTTGTATATGTCAACTATGCACGAACTGAAGACTTCTTTAAACTAGAGCAGGACATGAACATCAGTTGCTCTGGGAAGATTGTGATTGCCAGATATGGGAAAATTTTCAGAGGAAATAAGGTAAAATTCATCTCTTTTTTATTCTCCACAAATATAAATTGTATCTAATATGTGTAAAACCATATCCTTAAAACTTTTTGAGGACCATTATCCTCTCATAGTCTGTAACATGCCCACTGTATAGGGAGGACACATATATTGGTTATAGACAGGGGTTTTAAATTGGATCATTAGAATGTGGCCAGTGTAGAAGTTCAAGGAGAATAGAGAAGATTTTTCTCATACTTAAAATTCTGCCCGCGGTCTACAAAGAAGCATGCTTTGGATTTGTTGTTAAAAGACAGACCTTCAGTAACTTTGTTTTAAATATTATCTTTGAAAATATTTGCTAAATTAAATTTTAAAATGAATTATAGGTAATGAGATAAACCAATTTATCCATTGCAGTTTTTTTTAACCAAACTGAATTTCTTTTAATATTTAGTAGTTAATATTCTATTACTTATTTTCATCTAATTCAGATCGATCTTCCTCACCACTGCTCTGGATTAATAGACAGGTTCTGTGGTAGCTCTTATGCACAGATCCCACACTCAGATGTGCTGGTGTGCAGTTTGGGTGTTTTTTGTTGAGTTTTAAATGTTCAGCTTATTGTTGTTTCAAGGAGAGAGATCTGGGGACGTCTCTTACGCCATGTTTCTCCGAACTCCCATAGCAGTTTTTAAAGTTACTATCACTTGATTCTTTCTCTTTCGTGGGAGGTTAAATTTCAAAAATATTCCCTTTTAACCATAAAGAAATGGAAATCTGGCCTATGGAGTCTAGTTGCTTCTTGTGCTTCTAAACTAGTGTAAGGAAACAGCACATACTCAGTACTGCTCATGTTTACATTTTCCAAAAACTACTGCTCTCAGGGCTCATCCTGCTCTGGAAACTCTTCAGAGTCTGTAGTAGAAAAAAGAAAATGCCAGTTCTCTCTTTGATGTTCTTTGTTGTAGGTCTAATGATGAAAGATTAAAGATAAAAAGTTTGGTTACTTGCTTAAATTTAATTTTGAAAATAGATATGACCAAATTTGGAACAACCAACCTGAGGTAAGAAAAACATTGTGTTTTTCAGGTTAAAAACGCCGAGCTGGCAGGGGCCAAAGGGATCATTCTGTACTCAGACCCTGCAGATTACTTTGTTCCTGGGGTGGAGCCCTATCCAGATGGCTGGAATCTTCCTGGAAGTGGTGTCCAGCGTGGAAATATCTTAAATCTCAATGGCGCAGGGGACCCTCTCACACCTGGTTACCCAGCAAACGGTGAGTGACCAGGCCTCAATTATTTTCACAGGAATTTTAGCAGCGTTTTTAAGTGATTTTAGGAAAAGATGTCCTTTCACAACATACAAAGTACATATTTTCTTATCCTCTTTGCATCTAAGAAATAAATTAAAAACTTTTGAACTCTGAAAAATTATTGGTGTCTTACTCCTTATTTGGAATCCTTGGGCCTGATGGGTTTTGGAATTTAAAAGTAATACAGTGCATATTGCCATATGTTGCATAATACTCATGTTGGAGGCTGGCACAAGATTCAGGAAGCAAGCATATGAATATTTTTTTGCAGCACAAAGTATGAATAATCATACTAAACTGTGTTAAAGAAGTGATATAAATAGATTTGTGTCTGCTTAAGTCAGATTTTTCTGTCAAATGAGTTTACATCAGATCAGGTTTTGTTGCCAAATGAATTTCCTCTGAATTTATGGTTTCCACAGTTTTTGGATAAAGAATAGCAGAAAGGAGATTCTATAAACCCCTAAAAAGTCACATTTAGAATATAGTCCAGAAAATGCTTATTGCATGTTTGCTGTATAAAGACAATAGTAATCTCTTTTTTTTATATATAATTTTTTATATTTTAGGTGAGGCAACCCTTGGTTGACCTCACAGATTGCAAAGAACTTGTCAGTTTACAATCTCTTATTTTTTTATTTTTTACGCCTACAGCACCTGGTCTTCCTAGGTGGTCTCCCATCCAAGTACTAACCTGGCCCGACCCTACTTAGCTTCCGAGATCAGACGGGATCGTGCTTGTTCAGGGTGGCATGGCCATAGATGACAACAGTGATAACTTTTAAGGAGTGTTTCCTAAGTGTCGGCTCTTTACATGCATTAACAACCCTATAAGCTAGATAGTATTATTATCTCCGTTTGACAGAGGAGGAAAGTGAGGTTAGGAGAAGTAAGCAGTCTGCCCCAGATGACCTCACTGCTCAATGAAGAGTTGGGATTCAAATTCAGTTAGCCCGGCTCCAGGGTCCACATGCTTCTCTTGTGCTGAAATGCTCCTCTGTAACACTGTGATCGTTGACATAGGGAGCTAATTTGAATGTACTCAGCTATTTGATGATATTTACAAAAATCTTTGATCATTTAGTTTATGTAGTTTAAAACTAAGGTGTGTAACGTGGATAAAATAGATTGCCACAGTACCTGTAGAACTTCCATATTTATTCTTTATCTGTGGGGTTCATTTTTTTTTTTAAATCAAATTGTAGCTTTCTCTATGTACTTTGACTTTGTAAATCTTTTTGAAACATGGTTCATTGTCATAGATTATTTTTTTAAGCAATGCATAGCATGAATTACATAAATATATCTGAGATTTACTTACTTCACCTTTTTATTCTCAAATTTAAAAAACCATTCAACTTTTCCCAAGCTGTTATGTAAAGCTAAAATTATGAACATAAAATGAGATTAATCAGAATATTTCTGCTGATTATCCTCAAATTTAAATAATGATATTTTAGGGGAAAATCATGTTATCCCTGTGGGCCTTAACATTTACTTTATTCTCTTTTGTGCCTTATTCTTTTTCTCTGTTTTTAAAATTTACTTTTAATTATGGAATAGTTCTAACATACACTATATAATACATAATAGAGATAATTGTCAACATTTTGTCAATCTGTTTTATTTATTTGTTTGTGTTTATTTATTGTTATTACTCCAGATAATTTTAAAGCAAATCTCATACAACATATCATTGTTATTTTACCCATAGAAAGAAAAAGCTTTTGCAATCATGTAAAGTTTTAGGAGATAATTAAAAATTTGGAGAAAAATGAAAATATTGCCTTTATTTTTCTTAAACCTGAAGAAATGACAGAATGTCTGTTTTTATTTTGAGATAGAGTTTCCATGTAATAAAATAGACAGATTTTAAGAGTTCAGTTCAATAAATTTTTTAAATGTGTACATCTCTGTCACTCAAAATAAAATATAGGTCATTTCCACGAGTCTGGAAAGTTCTTTTGTGCTCCTTTCTGGTCTATTTTCACTTTCCTCCACCCCTTCCTCAAAATCACTTTAAGATGTCTATCAATATTGATTAGTTTGCCTGGTTTTGAACTTCATATGAGTGGAATATGTGTTCTTTTGTGCCTTGCTCTATTCGCTCAGTGCAATGATTTGATCTATCCATGTTTTTCTGTGTATTGGTAATTTGTTCTTTTTAATTCCTGAATAGCATTCTGTTGTGGGACCATACTCCAGATTATTTATTCATTTTCCTGATGATAGACGCCTGGACTGTATTCAGTATTTGGCTAATATAAATACAGCTGTTATGAGCAATTTTATACAGATTTTTTTGTGGACATATGTTTTCATCTTTTTGGGGGGTAAATATCTAGCAGTGGAATTGTTGTGCCATAGTACACATTTCTGTTTAATATTACTTTTCAAAAGAGTTATCCAAAGTGACTAATTTTATATTCTCACAAGCGATGCTTGAGAGTTTCAGTTGTCCCACATTCATGCTAACATTTGAAATGGTCATATCTTTTTACTTTAACAATACTAGTAGATGTGATATGAGAATATGTTTAACATAACTTACAGGGGACCTTTTGAAAAGGATTGAATTTTTATTAGAAGTATGTTCGACTTTTTTCAGAACATGCTTATAGACGTGAACTCTCAGAAGCTGTTGGCCTTCCCAGTATTCCTGTTCATCCAATCGGATACTCTGATGCACAGAAGCTCCTGGAGTAAGTTTGTGAGAAACAGCAGATGGCATATGTCTCTTTACTGGCAGTCTTCAACTTTTATGCTTTTATCTCCATTATTTGTTACCGAAAATCTCTTGAGGTGGGTGAGACATCCAATTTTTATCACGATTTTATAGAAAAGTGGTTCTGTTCTGGAATTTACTTTACATGTTGGTGTCTAGTGTGTGACAGCCATGAAAATGAGCCTTTCAGATCTCCAGCCGCAAGGAGCATAATTGATCAAATTACTCCAGCCACTGTGCTTTGAAATACATCATCTGTTTGTGTCCAGGCCACACTTCCCACAGGGGCTCCCAGTCAGTAACTGAGTGCATCAGGGATACTAAACCAGGCCCGTGACTGGGAGGCTCGGGACTGCCTGTTGGCTTTGCTCCACTAGTGGCTGCCACCCAACAGTCTTTTCTTCCTTCCCTTTCTCTCTACCCTATATCAGACCTGCATTGCAGTCCGATGGCTTTCCCTGCCTCTATTACTATTTTCCACATAGGCCTTTTCTGCTAATGAATTTCTTACTCCTCTAATCCTCTTACTGTCTACTTCGTAACAGGAGCTGGAATAACCCACTGAAAGAGAAAGTTTCATTTTGTTTTTATTTCTTTTTCTCATCCCCCTCTGCTTTCATCATTGAAATGTCTCCAAATGTGTTTTTGCTTAATTTGGCATTGAAACTCTCCCCTTTCTTGTCCTGCTTTCTCCTGTCTGCATGTCCCTTTTTCTTTATTATTCTTTGAAAGTAGTATTGCTATAGAGACAGTGTCTGGCCAGTTAGTCCCTTCTCTTCTTTGAGTCCAAGGCATTCTTGACCATTTTATTTTAGTATATGTAAGAAAACTTTTTTTATCTAGTGCAGTGCCCTCATTTTTACAGGCGAGGAGACTGACATCAGAGAGTTAGAGGGATCTCTCCAATTTAAGAGCAATTAAGAGTAATCTGATCTCTTATTTTTGGAGGCTCTGAGCGTTATTACATGGGTTAGGATTTAGAGTTAGGCACAACTTTTGAGGGCCTCATATATTATGCATTTGTCCAAACATGTTTATAAATAATATCTAAATATTTATGTTATTTAAAAGATGCAAGTGATTTTAGCATTACTTCTAATAGTAGAAAACCATAAATTACACAAATCTTCCATAATTGATAAGTGGTCAGATACTATGATAGCACTTGTACAGCACATGTTGTACAGGAGTACTTAACGATACGGAAACATGCATGTGCTATACAAGTAAATGAAAAAAGATTTCAAAACAATGTGTAATGTGATTCCAATTAAGTAAAAGGAATTATATTTACACAGTTCATAATTCTAAAGGTTATAAAGTGAAAAATTTCCTTCTTAACCATTACCACCCCAAAGGCATTCAGTGTTATTAGTGTATAACATATCATTGTAGAACTATTTTATGTATAATCTAGCATATGTGTATTCTTCACTTGCCTTCTATAACTTTTTTGTATACTTAATTCTTTGCCGTTTAACTATTGATCATGCTTTTTGCCGTTGTAAAATGCCCATTCATATTACTTGATGCTTTTTATGTGAAATTTTGTTGTAAATAGGTAAATACATTTAATAGTATATTACTTGAAATTATATTATTAGCCAAACTACTAGTGTGATAGGATAAAGTATTTACTCTCTGATATAGCATTTTAAAACAATATTATTTATAATTAGTTTTTCATGAGAAGACATTCTTAGCAGTTGTTTTAGTATTGGGTGTGCTATAAACTCTAGGTCCAGTTGAGCTATTCACATTTCCTCAAATATAGAGGCAGAGAACAAGCATTTGTGGGCAGGCACAGAAAAAAGAGGAAACTGCAGTGTGCTCCACTGCAAAGCCTAGGATGTGGCCAGAGATGATGCTGTAAAAGGCAGATTGATGTTTTCCACTCTCAAGTTTGTCTCGAACCTCATTCCTTTATCTACTGCTCTTTAGCAAAGGTACCTTTGGTTTCCACGCTCAAATCAAGAAATAGTCACTCCATATTCTTTATACAGTATAGTCAGATATGTTCCAGTAGACCTGTAAGAACCCCACTATTCCATAAATAATTATCATTATCTCTTTCTCGGTCCCCTGCTGAGTTGGTGGCATGTACTGGCTTGTCTACCTGAATCTTTCTACCTTTCTGTATTAAAAAATAGCATGAAGATTTTAGGGGCTGCTGAATGAAGTGAAATCTTTCTTCTGTTGTTCTTCTTCCCTAACATGTATATGTGAAAGTACTTTGTAAATGATATCTTTATACATATTTCGAGTGCGTTTTATCAATGAGAGAAAAAGCACAATGGAAAATCCCAAAGAGTTTGACATCAAGCTGTCTCTTCAGAGCATGCTGAGGAGAGCACTCTTCACATGGTTTACTATTGGAAGCTAGTAACACGGAGTCCAAATTCCTAACAAATATTTGAATATCAGCTGTACCACTATCCATCGGCCACGTGACTTTGCTATGCTGCCTAATTTCTCTAAGCCTCATGCTCCTCATCTGTGAAGTGGGGATGATAGAGATGACTTCATAAGAGTTTGACTAAGAATTTAAATGGCATATCGTATGCAAAGCACTTTTCTATCCCTGACTCGTAGAAGCTCTTACAAGCAGACACTCAAGAGAGCAAGATTGTTGGCATTTTAACTTGTAACTTCAAAGTTTTCCTTCAGCTAATACTACTTTTTGTGTTCCACAGAAAAATGGGTGGATCGGCACCACCAGGCAGCAGCTGGAAAGGAAATCTCAAAGTGCCCTACAACGTTGGGCCTGGCTTTGCAGGAAACTTTTCTACACAGTTAAGAGACTATTTTTATGTTAACTCTTTTTATGGGGAGTAAACCTTTTTTAAATAAAAAAGCAATTATGACTAAAAAAGTAAAACTTAGCTAGTACCATCAGGAAACAAAATCACAAGTTGAAGAGGGGGTTATACTTACGTCATTATAACTGGACAGTTGGCCAATGTAATTTTTGCCTGTATACTTTTAGAAATCTTTTAGACAATGATGTAAGGTTTAAAAATTGTGGGTGGTAATCTTTTAACCAATATTTTTCGAATGTGTTCTTTATGTTTACGTTAGAAAAGTTAAGATGCACATCCATTCCAACAATAAAGTGACAAGAATTTACAACGTGATCGGAACTCTCAGAGGAGCAGTGGAACCAGGTAAGTTAATCATTTGCTCAGCAAACATCGAAATGAGCGCCTCTTCTGTGCCAGGTGCTGCTCTGAGCTCTAGAACCATCAAAGCAAAGCAACTTTTTGCCCTAAGGGAACCTCCATAAACACAAAATACATAAACATGAGGCAATTTTTGTATTGTGATACACGTTGTGAAGAAAAGAAAAGTAAATGGTGTAGCTTGGTTGGTCGACCAAGGTCAGTGATAAACTGCACCCTCGACTTAGAGAATCGGGAGAAAGGGCAGGGAGAGATAGATTTAAGGTGTTTTCACTGAGTCATTTGGATTTGTTGACCCCATTTTGCATGGGGAAGTATCTTCAGATAACTCTAAATATCTATATAAAAGATAGCACTCAGAAAATTCAAGTAAACTTGAATTGATGAATCCCTTATATAGCTTTATTTTTTATTGAAGTTGATGAAATATATAGACACCCGATTTCCACAGGATTTCAGATGACCTGGGAATTAATACGTTTTATAGGGTCTTAATTATGTTCCAGTTTTTTGAGAGTTATATGGTTATATATTCCCGACCCAAACAGATCCACTTAAATTGCATCTTTTTCTTACAAGCAGCCAGTGCTTTTGTTCAGCAATTAAACACGTTGATACGCTTCCAGTAAATACTAAATCATATGTAACTGGCTATTTATTGATTCTTACTCAGTACCTATTTTGCGCGAGCTCTATGCTAAGCTTTGGAGATGAAGGGATAAAAAAAGATGCATAACAGGGACAAGGAGTTTATGATTTGGAGGGGAGCCGTACATTTAAGTGTTTGGTAAATGCTTTATCAGATATGAAAAGATCATCCTGAGTGCTGGGTAGAGGAGCAATTCCCGTTCACTATAGAAAACAGGTACAGTACGTAGAGTGGGAAGTGGAGAACTTACTATGTAGCCACTATGTTCTCTTACTCTGAAAATACCGGAAACAAAGTGATAAGTAGTAAGAGAGTAGTAATAAAGAATTATATAAAGATGTGAATACAGATAGTTTTATAGTTAACTTATAATTGCAGATATATATTGCATATATACTTATAATTACTGTACTACACTGAAGCATATATTTGCATATCACGTTTATGTTTTCTTCGTATGTCAAAATCAGAACAAAATAAGTACTATATTTACACAAGTCTTCAGGACACTTGCTGTCTTTCTCTGAGTTGTGAGTACTTTGTGTTTAGATGCTATTGAGTCATTTGCAATTTGTATGTTATTGACCTTAAATGACATAAGTAATTTTGCAATAATGCTTTCTAGACAGATACGTCATTCTTGGAGGTCACCGTGACTCGTGGGTGTTTGGTGGCATTGACCCTCAGAGTGGATCAGCTGTCGTTCATGAAATTGTGAGGAGTTTTGGAATACTGAAAAAAAAAGGTAATTTGAATAAAATAAAAAGACCGACCTGTCTAAGTCTCAGTTTAATTCTCTGTAAAGTACATGTAAAAATGCCATCTCATAGGTTTGTGTGAAGGATGAACTGAGAGGATGGATACATGTAGACTACATCAGCTAAGAAGCATAAAGTAGCTTTCAATAAATAGTAGTTATATGACTTAATGTTGGTTAGTTAATTATATTGCTTATTCATTTTGCATTTATTTATGTAATACTATTTACATTATTAATGTTTATATACTAAATAATGATCTGAAATAAAGGAATTATACTGTGAGTGGTTGCTCTTAGCAACTAAGAAGATAGAGTTGGATTTCTTCACTAGAGGGTACACACCGGCACGAGGTCATGAGCCAAAGCTTCCTGGTCTGAAATCTGAGCAGAAGTTCTTTGAGCTCTTCCAGCCTCATATCTCAGGTCACATGTACTCCGTAACTGAGGAGATCAAAGTTTATTCAGGAAAATACTGATCTTCTTGTCTTCTAGCATACTGTCGAAAATTCAATATCTGCATTCTCACACCTCCAGCTTTGTTTTGCTCTCCAGAATTTAGGTTTGTATTCTTAGAACCAGTACTTCAGTCATTTTACAATCTTTATATAAAAGACAAAATAAAATCGAGTTCAAATGGTTGCTTTTTAAAATAATTGTTATACATTGAAAGAAGAAAGTCCATTCTGTTTACTCTCTACAAACAAGGTGTCTGGGAGCTGTAAAAGTTTCGTATTTTTTCAGCAACAATAAAAACAGTGATAAAAATGTTAAATTTGCATGGTACTTACTTTCTCTGAGGAAACAAAGTTTGTTATTCTATTTTGAATCCATAACAACCGTGGAGAAGTTTGCCTAGTTATTTCTGTCCTCATTTTACAAATAAGCCAATCAAAGTTTACAGAATCAAGTAATTCGCCCAAGGTTATAGAACTAATTTGTGGCAGAGTCAGAGAACCAGGGCTTGAACTCAAATTTCTGGCTACCAGTTTACAAAACCATGATGTCTCTCTATAAAATGAAATGTGAAGGTGCTCTATTCTTTTTTCTATACAGCTATCTTATATTTTAAGAAAACAGAACTATAGAGACCTGAATTTACATAGTTCATAAATTAAGTAGTGTTTCATATTATTACAAAAATTTCCATGATTTTGTAAGCAGATTCCCTGTGGTAAATACAAAACATCATTGTGACAATTCTAGAGCCTGCTAAAAGAATGAATGATGAAGAAAAATAATTAATAGGAGATTTGAGTAATACTATTAACAAACTTGAAAAAAATGAAACACTGAACTCAATGAGTATTCTTAATAAGCACAAATGAAATATTAAAATTACAGCTACTTACAATTTTTGGAGCACTTATTAAGTGCCATATTTGAAAATATTCCACTTAATCCTTCCAACAATCAAGTAGTAATTTCATCTTTACTTTGTTATTCTTGGTGAATAGATGAAGAAATGGAGGCTTAGTAGGTTTGAATAACTTTCCCTTGGTCATACTGCTAGTAAGTGAAAGAACCAGGGTTGAAAATAAGCTTTCTTTCACTCCAAGGTCAGTGTTTATCAGTCTGAGCCATAGGACCTCTCCCTATTGAATTATGTCGTTTTCAGCAGCAGCAGACATTGGCATTGTTAACTGAACTCCGTTGACTAATTCTGGCAGAGAGTGGAGCAAATCATACAACCAGCTGACAGTGAACAGTTATGTGATGTCAGAACAACACAGGAGAGTTATAAAGGATGTCCTTTGAGTTTTATCTGCTCTCAGAACACAGGCCACATCTAGCATTTCTTCTTCACTCTAGGCAGCTGCAGACCACAGGTGGTTTCCTATGCACAGCTAATCATTATAAACTTATTAGAATATTTTATGACCTCATAGGATTTTTATTATGTCTACGTTTTTTTTTTTCCTTTTTCAGTACAAAGGTGCTATTTTGTATTAACGAATCAGCTTTAAAATCTTACAAAAGGAAATTATATAAGTAAAGATTGTCACCACATTTCACCCTTCCTAAATAATGATTTTGTTGTTTTTCCTGTTAGGCTTGGCAATGTCTTGTATGTATTATGTGTTTACCCAGAATTTCTAAGTATACACTTATATTTTAGGATGGAAACCTAGAAGAACAATTTTGTTTGCAAGTTGGGATGCAGAAGAATTTGGTCTTTTTGGTTCTACTGAGTGGGCAGAGGTTAGTTGATAATTTGCTACAACATACATTTTCATAGTAATAAAGCAATTCAGACTTAATTCTAAAGGATGTAAAAATAACAAGTGAATCCAGTGACAAAATATTCAAACTTTTTTTCCAGAAAATCAGAAGCAACAGATCCTTGTTAAAAAATCAAAAAAATACATATATATATATTTGTCACTAAAGAACTAAGTTCCGTTTCAACTTGTTAGAACCAGTTAATGTTGATTGTCAAAATAATTTATTTTCATTTTCTGGGACTGTGATAGTCAAGTAAGTAAATTCACTAGAAATGAAACATCAAAATAAATAAGATACCATGTTTCTCTTAGCCTTTCCAAATTAACTCCTAAAGCTACCATATTTAAATACCCCTTGAGCTTGTGAAGTAAGGTGTATTTTCACAATTATCTTTCTGGTATCATCTTGACCTACTCTAAATTAAATTATGTTAAAAGTGAGGCAGAAAGTCCTACCACAATATTTACTAGGCCCCTTGAAAAGTAATTTACCTGTATGAATTATAGGCTTTGTGTAATAGAGGCATTAGCTATAAATATATGCAAAGTTGACATATCATTACTTCCAGTCATGCTGTCAATATTTATTTGGCTCCTATTATACTCCAGAAATTATGGGAAGCCCTGTAAACTTCAATTTTCTTTGGTGTAATGGGGGAGGAAATAGTGCTTCTGTAAACAAGAAAGACTTATGCTGGCATTAGGAAGAACCTAAATATGTTGAGATTGTGATTTGTCTTTTTCAAACTATTTTCATCACCTAGAGTTGCATTTCCTTTCTTACAGTCAAGATGCTTTGGAAATTCCATGTTTGGGAGACTCAGTCTACTTGATATTTCAAAAAACTTTTGCTACACTTTTGTCGGTTTTAAAACTGCGATGATCAATATTGACCAGTAGGTGGTGCCATCCTACAGGAGAACTTAACCAGATTTGAGTATAGACATAATTGAAATTCACATTTTTAATCTATAAATTTAAAATAGCTCATTCCTTGTGAATCAGGCAAGATTCTCTACTTAAATAATGAGATATTAACAGGACGACTTTCACTGAAATGATCTCGCTAAGAGAATTTCTTGAAGGATAAACTATAGTATGGTTATGAAATCAACTGTTTTTCCATTTACCAGATTAAGAATGTACAGAGTTTTATTTTAAATTTTAGTCTTAAAAACATTTTGCTTGTTGTTCTTACCAAATATTTTATTGAAATTCTTTCAAATTATTTTAAGCCTCTTATATGTCAAATTTGTGGTTAATTTGGGCCAGCTTAATTAAGAAATCTACAGTTAATATAGATATGCACTTTTTTTAGGGAGAGATTATACTTATGGTTTTCTTTCTTTCATATTATAGGAGAATTCCAGACTCCTTCAAGAACGTGGTGTGGCCTATATTAATGCCGATTCTTCTATAGAAGGTGAATATCACTGGTCTCACAGGAAAAGATGTGAGCGTGGTAGTAGCCGCAGTTTAGTTCATAAATTATGCACTAACAAGGAAAGCAAATTCCTTAACATGTGGTTAGGGAATCTACTACTGCTTTGTCCTGCTGCTGCCCCTAACTCACAGCAGCTGTGAGCCCTAGAGTGCTAATTTGGGAAGGCAGCACTCTGATGGTTTCATCCAGCAGATTACCTTGTATATGGTAGGAATTCAGTAAGTACATGTTAAATGAATAAGTAAATCACGGAGCTAAAGATTTCAATGATTTTAGAATGAAGTAGCAAAAAAGTGTAATTTAAATTTAAACCTAGTTTTATCATAATAGCGTACGTGCACATTTTGAAAAAATGCTGATGTCCAAGATTCAGCTTTCACCAACTATTTTTCTTCTTGAATTCTTTTTCTCAATTGAACAAATATTTACTGACTGACTACCTCTCTATGCAGTGTACTTTCCAGGATTTCAAAAGAATGAGGTTAGTAAGAACAGTTTTGTACAGCTGATAAAATAAGTCAGTCTAGGATTCTAATACATGCAGGTACAATAAGAAGGATATAATCAGACTGGGTCTGAGATTTCAGAGGGGAGAGTAATAGCAACTTCAGGAAAGGCTTGCGCAAATGAGAGACATTTAAGACGGGCCTTTAAGAATAGATTTGCTCTTGATAAGCAGAGATGTGAACTAAAGGACATTCTCAGGTCTATTTGCAAGAAGATCCAACAGTTCATTGTCCCTACACTCCAAACCCACTGATCTTTCTATTCTGGACCATATTCAACCTCCCAGCCATTGTAACTGGTGTTCTCTAGACTGTTCGATTCTTAGCCTTACAGTCTCTCCTGAAAGGTTTCTTTTTCAGGGGAGCCACATTTTTGTAGCACTCATCACTGCCATCATTAACTAATTGTTTTACAAACTGCCTCCCTTACTAGATGATCTTCTGCAAGGAACAAACAGTATATTCCTTAATAACTCCTGAATTCCTAATGTCTCAATAACTGAATATTTGTTGCATGGGTGCCACAAATGAGTGAGTAAATGAATGGAGGGTAGAATTTTAGAATCTTCTCTTTAGGGTATTAGTTAATTCGCCATATTAACAGTAATTGAGACATTGGTTTATAGAGGCATGTTGACCTTTACATTTTCTTTTTTTGTCCACATGCGTGAACTACATTGTTCCTTAAGTTAGTTTACCCAGTGCATTTCAGTTATCCTCTCCTTCTTCTCTTAGCTTTGTGGCTAAAGGCCTGGCCTTATTCCTGCCACTGCCACTTCTTGTTGTGTGACCTCAGATTGTTACTTACTTTCTGTGTCTCAGTTTTCTCGCCTGTAAATAGCGTTACTAAGAGCACGTATCTCAAAGGCTCTTGTAAGGGCAAAAGAGGTTGATATTAGCAAAACTCCTAGACCTGTGTCTTGCAGAGTAAAAGTTCAGAAATGATTGGATTATTATTACCCTTACTTAAAAACACTTAATAAGATGAAACACTTTGCCACACAGAATGAATACTTCATATATTCTTTAAAAGAATAATGTTCTCTTTATTGCTAGAGATTTGATTGTTAATGTATGTTTTGTTTTGTTTTATTTTTTTATTTTTATTTTTTATCATCATCCTGTCTGTCCTTTTTAATGTGTCTTTTTCAATCATTGGAAATCATTGGATTTTGCTGATTATGTCATTCCCTGACTTAAAATGCTACATTGTCTCCCCATGATTTCAGGATCAAGAGCAAATGACACAAACATTATTCTATGATTGGGACAGCACTTATCTCACTTTGTGTTATAGTTCAAATTTTATTAAGTGTTTATTTTTCAAATGTTATAATAAATGACAATTGGCTTTCTCATGTTAAAATGCAAAATTTACAAATGAAGCAAAATTCTCTATTATTACCACTCTCAAATTTAGCCCTCTTTCCAAAGGTACTAATGTCCTCAGTTTGGGTTTTTTCCCTCATGTTGACATTCATATGTAGAATTTAGCTCATACAAAGACCAACAGTGTAGCTGTCTTAAGTGCTTTACATGTAAAAGTTTATTTAGTACTCATAATAACTGTGTGAGGTAAGTATTATCTCTCTTGTATAGAAGAGGGAACTGAGATTTAGAGGGATTAAGAAACTTTCCCAAGGTTACTCAGATTGTGAAGGATTGATCTGAAACTTAAATCAGGCTGGTTTGTTTCAACTTTATTCTTCTAACCAGTACATTCTGTTGCCTCTCACGATCTTAGACAGGTTTCTTGGTATCATATACAGCTAAATGGTTCTGCAACTTGCTTTTTTCATTCAGGGAAAACCTCTCAGAAAACATGACCGTAGACCACAGGTGTAAGTGAAGTGGCGTATGTAATGTAGATATAATGAAGATCACTGTTTTTGCTGCTGGGGCGGTATGTCCAAAGGCCCTGAGGAAGAGTCTGTTGGCAGAGTGGAAGGTGAATATTTGGAGAGGTGACCTGAAGCCATGGTGAGGATGATGGATTTTATGGAGTAAGGAGTTGGAGAGTTTCGATTGGACTTAGATTTAAAAGAATCATTCTGGCTAAGGAGTTAGGAATGGTCTTTGAAAGAATAAAATACAGATATGAAATTAAAAGGTATCTATCTTCTCTTTATCTTTCAGGAAACTACACTCTGAGAGTTGATTGCACCCCACTGATGTACAGCTTGGTATACAACCTAACAAAGAAGGTAAAAATAATTATATGTAATTTTAGAAAATCCGAGTTTTACAAATGATGATATTTTGAGATACCATTATTATAAGTACCTGTGTTGTTTTTTAACTCGCCTGTTTTTCATAAAGCAAATATTCACTCCATAGAACACTACATCTAATAAATTGTTTCTTTCCACACTGCCCTGAAACAGGCTTTGGGTAGCGTGTGTCTACCATATTCATTTGAAAATGAGAAAACTGAGCTTAAAAATCGGTAGCCACCCAAGTTACAACTCGTACAGTAGGTGAACCAGGACTTGGTCCTGTGGTTTAATTCCTTAATCTAAAAACTGGTTTGTTCTCCTTAATATAATGATACCAAGTAACTCAGTATGCAGGAAGAGTTAAAGTTTCTAACTGATTGAGAAAGAGTACAAGTGAAAACACACTGACCTGACTGCTAAGGCAAATCGCTTTGGGCCAGAGGCTAGGTGAAACCGCTCACTGCCTTCCTGACTTCCTGCCTTGGGCTCCAATCCACTGAGTTCCACTGGGCTGGGCTGACAGCTAAAGTTACCTTACTTCTGACGGCTGCACAAGATACTGAATTTGGCAGAGAGATGGTGCCTGAATCCCTGTAGGACTGACAGGCAATTCTTCACTTTAGTTCTCATGCCCCAGAAACCCACTATTTCTAAAGTTAATCGTAATGAATGAGTTTTGGCATGGCAGAATTTTGTTATTACTGCTAATTACCTAATTTGAATTGGAAAGGAAAAAAAAAAAGACTTGCCTATTTAATAGAATTACCAATTGAAATGTAATTACCAAGAAAAAAATGTTTCCCCTCAGATAGGGATTTTAAGTAAGACTTAAACATCACTAAGCTTTGGTTTTAAAAGCATGAAATTTAATCTTATAACTTCTATAAGAATAGAAAAATTAATTTGAAAAAAATCTACTGATGTCATTAGTTAAGAGTGCCATCATTTGTCTGCAGTTTTACCAATTTCCATGAAATGTATAAAAATTTAAATATCTGAAACAGAGTATTTCAGAGGATTCCCACCATACACGTAATTTAAGGTAAGCTCTAAGGAATCTTGGCAGTTGTACTAGTTGGGTTGGTGACACCCTGGGACAATTACAAAAACACTGCTGTCTAGGTCAGGTTTGAAATTATGTGATGCTCAACAATTTTGGGTTTTGTTTTATTATGTTTTATTTGGGGAGAATAATTTGCAGCATTTCAACTACTAGTGAAAAACTGAGAATTTAGTAATATATTCCTACACTATTCCACATTTGCATTTCTTAGACTAAATGGAGTGGTACTATCCTTTATAGCAAAGTTTTATGTAAATTTATAAGCTTGAGTGAAATTATTTTGTTGCTGTGTTTATTCATGTTTTACTAGGTAAGATGTTAGCATAACTTCTCTCTCTCCACACTTATGCAAATTTGTGTCCACATAGACCTTTTCACATTACCTCTGTTATAGCACCTAGCGCATTGAATTCCATGTTTTTATTTACAGTTCCCACTAGCGGAGAGCACGAAATGTGTCTCATTAAGCTTTGTATCCCTGGCATTCACAAAAAGTCTTAAAGAACATAGATACTCTATAAACTTTTAAAAATTGAATTTGTTGAAAAATAGAACATGAGTTTTATTAAATATAAAATAAAAATGTTATAAACCATATATTGTTCAATAACCTTTGAATAACTGGAACATTAATTAAAGCTTATTTGCTAAATGTTTTTGGCATAACATTTAATGCTTTTGAGTCTGGAATTCAATAAAAGGTCATATATTACTCCCTTAATTTTCTCATCTTTAAAACCAGAAAATGTATTTAGAGCTTAGTATTTGTAATTATAATGAATACTCAATTAATTAAATTTAATATTAATGTTTGTTTTATTATGTAATATTTAATGACTTTAGCAACCTTAGTGGCAAGAAGCAATATTAAGAATACCTTCCCTTAACCAGCTTGCTTCCTTTCAGTTTTTTTATGAGGAGGAGAAATATGTGTTTTTGAGAGTAGCCTTCCTTAATTCTGAAAAATGGACCAAAAATTTTTTATAATATAACCATTCCTTTGAATACAATGTCTTGGTAAATTTGATGTAGCCTTCTTTTCCATACATTCCATGAATATTTTTATAGTAGTTGCACTTACACAGGTCAAAGTAAGAAACATCCAAAACTCTGTAGAATTTTAATGAGTCTCTTTGAGCCAAGTTGATGACAGTTGCCTGGAAACAAAATCTCAATGGATTGAGTAAACGCTCTGAACAATGGCAGTTTTGCAGCTTATTTTGTACATTAGAATTAAAGGAGGAGATATGAGGAGGGTTACGGATCTTGGTGGTAGATTAAGGGGATGAGAGAAAGGAAAGCGGAGAAATCTCTGGGACTGGATAAAAAGGGAAATGGAGAGACAGACGCATACTTCTTTTACAGTAGTGGGTACAGGAGCTAATAATTAACATTTAACAGCATGCAGGGGACAAGATAATTATAGGGGTTCTGCGGTCTCCTGCTCTGGTGTAGTGGGTTATGCTCTGAAAGGTCTGGAAAAAAGTGGTTACTCTGGCATTCCAAGGGTCTGTTACCTTAGATGCAAAAAGACAATAAACAGGTTCACTTAAGGTAACGATTGACCTTTGTCAAGAAAACTACAGGCCCAGGATGTGACTACCCTCCATGACCTGCTTTTAGTTAGGAATTTGTATGTTCAGACCATCCTGCGTGGTTACTTTTAGTCTCTGTGTTTACAGGGCCCATCACGCTGGCCTCCTCTGAGCTTGCCAGGGTTATTTAGTATGTGACCCCTTTTTGGTCCACACATAATAACATGAGCACTTTCCTGTACTGTCAGAAATGCATTGTAATTCTTAATGACTGCTAATGTATGAATTGTATCCTTTATTTTACTGAATATAGTTTAGCTAATCATTGCCTGGTTAATGGACATTTAGTTTTTAAAACATCTGATTTATAAGTATTCTCTTTTGTTTTTCTTTTAACTTGTATAGCTCCAAAGCCCTGATAAAGACTTTGAAGGCAAATCTCTTTATGAGAGCTGGAATGCAAAAAGTCCTTCACCAGAGTTCAGTGGCCTGCCCAGGTAAACAAACAAACAAGCAAGCAGACAAACTCTCGACTGAAGTCAGTGTGGGATTGTGTTGAAAATAAAAATATTTTTATT